CCTAAATGATTCTATGATTCTAAGTATGCCCAGTGTTGACATGCTGCCTCTTCTGAGCACTGCTGAACAACAAAGTTCAGCCCCGTCACACAGCTGTCCTGTGTGAGAAGAGAACCTCTACTCCGGGCACTGAGGACATGAGGGAAGGAAGGAGAGAAGAAATAACCCCCCCAAAAGGCTGATAAAGGAGAAGAGGTTGAAGTGCTTAGTCTTACATTTCCAGGATGACTGACATTTTCAAAACTGCCACGAACCCAAGGTAATCTTTTAACTCTTCCAAGGCTTGGAAGACTGAGGCAGTCCCAACTTCAGGATTCTCAGTTTAGAGAAAAATCCCCATTTATCAAAACTGGTATGAACAGGCCCAAAACTGCTCCAAAGCTCTACGCTTACTTAACTTTCACATCAGTCAATTCCAAAGACTGAGCAACAACAACTCAAAAAAACCCAAATGCCTTTGCCAGCCATCTGCAGAGGGCTTCTTTTAATGGAAGGCCCACAAACACTCCAGAAGCTCACGGTGGGCTGGAAATCCACCCTGTCAGAGCCTCGAGTGCAAGCTGACATCTGGGATGCTATTAGTAGGACTTCCTTGCAAGTTCATTCACACAGACACGTAACACAAGACTCACTTAATAAGCACTTTAATAAAATCATCTGGAAAGTCTCCAACTAGCTTCCTGGAGTGCAATTTCTTACCAGCTACAAAGACTGGCTTGTTGCTACACAATGCCATGCTCTTCCAAGGATTCAATACAAAGAGCACCACTTTCTGGGAAGCCCAGGATGAGCTCTTCAGTGTAACACCTAAAATAAATCCTACCATTCTCTTCAGCCCTTACACAGTCTTCAGGTGCCTTTTAGTTCAATGTCTGACCCACCCTAAAGTTATATGCCACATGGAAACACCAGTTTGGGCAACAGGGAAACATGCTATGTCTAAGGTAAAATAAGATCTGCAGGACACACACCTGAAGTACATTAACTTACAATGGAATTGCTGAGATTCTTCATTCTCTCCACAACACTCTTCATTGTTTTCAGCACTGGTAAGTAAATACTGACCTACAAAGACATAAAGAACTGTATTCACACAAATATTTCATGTGTGACTGAGATATAAGGCATTTATTTCTCTCTTCAATTCTATCTTATTTTTGACCCAGTTATCTACTGAATGCAAGGAGCACAGTACTTAAATGAAATCAGCAAATGACTCAGGAATAGAGGAACTTTCTGCCCCATGGTACCAACAGGCCATCACTCTAGCAATTGCTTCAGACATACTATCCCAAGTTCGAGTTCAAAATAGAGACAGACTTTTGCAGATCAGATTCTCACATGAACCAGCATCTGTGTTACTGAACAGTTAATCATTACTATAGCCAAAAAGGAAAGAACATGATCCCCATAGTACCATAATAATCACTGGAATTGCATCTGAAATAAAAGAAACTTGATGTACTTTGTTCTGTTAAGTCATATGTCTTCAGAATTTAAATGGTCTTAGCTGCAGTGGTAACAGACATCTAAAACCTCAAACTGGAGCACATTTCCACACAGACTTTTCCTTGCAGCTCTGCTAAAAGCCAAAAATGGTAGAGAGAGAATGTATCAAAATCAGCAATAAACACATATATAACTAACTCTGCTGGGCAAGCTGTGAATTTCAGAAAGAACAGATTACTTGGGCCACTTTGCACCTCAACAGCTGAAATGGTCTAAACCTGTATGGTCTGGAGGTGCTCCTGCCTAAAGCCATGCAAGCTTTTGGCTCCTCCCTTCCTCCACCCCAAATATCACAGCAACAACTGCTAACCACCTGCTCTGTTTTTTACAAGTTCTGGACTCTCTTGTCAAAAGGGAAGCCATGTCCCATCCCTTCCCAAGCCTCTAGCCTCCAGCCTTCCCTCTCTCCTTTCACTAACTCTGGAAAACCCATCAGTAGTATACTCCACAGCACCAATATTCCACTTGCAACCTCCCCTTTCCTTATGGAATATAAAACCAGAGGCTTACATCAAAGTTTGGCATGCTTGGCTCTCTGAAGTCATTCCATAATCTTCTGGGAATAACCCCCACAGGAATGTCATGCGTCACAATCCTACTGCTGCTTGATAAGGATGGCTTAAGAGAAAGAGAGGATGGTCTTGCAGTTAAAAACAGGACTTGAAATTCTGAATTCAAATTTTTCAGACTCTCTCTGGGAAACACTACAGCCGAGTGCCCCAGACACTCAGTTCCAATTTCTCCCAGGTTCCTATCAGTCTGCCATTAAGTGGACTTCCCTTTTGAGTAAGGGAGCATTTGTGAGGTAGCAGTCATTAGTACCTATAAGCTACCCCTAGACCTGAAGGGGTGAATCAGTGAAGAGCTGTTAAGAACAAAAAAAACCCAAAACACAATGGAAGACAACAGTTCAAAATTGAATGGAACCTTCTTCACCTAATGGTTTCAATTATTGAGAAGGCAAAAACCCATAGAAGATTTAGAGAATGAGGGAATGAAGAAAAGTAGACAGTAGAAAAAGGTGCTTCAATCACAAAGCTTTCATTCCCCCTCAATCTCTTCCTTGCCTCCTGGAGAACAGAAAACTGAAGAACCAGAACTGGTTCTGCATGCTACTAACCATGATGGTAGGAAAGCCTAGTAAAATGGAAAACTTTTTCTTTTTTTTGCTTTTTCATTTTCTAGAATTACACCAAAGACTGTCAAGGCTTCTATTTGATCTTAGAAAAAGCACTTGACTTTGAAAAGCTTCTCCTTAATAATTAAAGTTGCACTTACTAGCTCCACAGCAACTCTGAGACAGGGACAGTGTTTATTAGTCAACTTGATCTTCACCGCCTTAGCACTCTGGGCAGTTTTTAATGCTCTTGACAGGTTCTCAGGCACCAACTCTAAATAGATTTCATTGTGCTCTGCAGCTACTCCTTCCATCTGAAATTCATCGAAGAAATTCCCCTACGATTTTTTAAAGTTAGGAAATAAATTAAAAAGAGACAGAGGGGCAAGTTTTATCGATCAGACCTTAAGCTAAGACCTGCATGTTTACAGTGGGAAGCTGTCCTCTGCCTGGCACCACCCGCAGGAATCAAGACAGGATGTACAAACATGAAGGCCCACTGCTTCAGATTAAACCTATTAATTTCAGACACCCCCCCAGCATCTGTCAGTCCACAGACAAGGGGCATGACAGGTGAGTTACACTTTCCAGTTTTGGGGAGGCCTTTGTGGGCCAGCACAAACTGAAGCTTTTACACTGAAGTGACAGCCAAGGTCTTTACATATAGCCAGGAACACCCAGCTTGTGCAACTCAATGGAAGTCCTACAAATGGAGTGTCTTCAGTGACCAGACAGAACTTGAGAGACCTGGCACATCTCCAGTGAGAGCTTATAGAATCATAAAATCCTTTAGGTTGGAAGGGACCTCCAAGATCATCAAGTCCAACCATTAAGCCAATAGGGCTCCAAAGTCCTCTGCCAAAACAGATCAGAATCTGTCAGGGTTGGAAGGGACCACAAGGATCACCCAGTTCCAACCCCTCTGCCATGAGCAGGGACACCTCCCACTAGACAAGGCTGCCCAGAGCCTCATCCAGCCTGGCCTTAAAGACCCCCAGGGATGGGGCCTCAACCACCTCCCTGGGCAACCCATTCCAGGGTCTCACCGCTCTCATGGTGAAGAACTTCTTCCTCACATCCAGCCTGAATCTGCCCACTTCCAGCTTTGCCCCATTCCCCCTAGTCCTGTTGTTACTTGAGATCCTAAAAAGTCCCTCCCCAGCTTTCTTGTAGGCCCCCCTAAGATACTGGAAGGCCACAATAAGGTCACCTCGGAGCCTTCTCCTCTCCAGACTGAACAGCCCCAACTCTCCACCTGTACAAGAAACGCCTTGTGTGCCAGACCCAACCATTTGCTTTACTTTCCAACGAGTGGCTACTGACCTTCCCCGGGCTTACCTGGCACAGCTCACACCACATGCTGACGCCTCCATTTGCTACTTTATCGGAGAGGATGAAATACAGCTTGGTGACAGTGAGGCGCAGGGTGCAGGTCTTGGCTAACTTGGCGATAGTGTTAATGACACCTGGCAGAAGGAGTGGGGCGTTACAGCCATAACCGCTTCACACATCTCATCCCGGGGGACAGGGGAGAAACGTTCGCTCTCCAAAAACGCAGCTCATGCTGCTGAAGGAACTCCCAAATAGCGCGGGCGGAAGAAAAGCGCCTCACGCCGCCTCCCCCGGCAAAGGGCCCTGGG